CATTCTGGGTAGAAATTAGCACAGCCTGGATTTGACCTTAACCATGCAATCTCTCTAAGATTAGGTGTTCACCAGGGCTCTTAGAGCTACCAGGATAGGCTTACTAAGTTAAACATTACTGATGGCAGATGTTGGGTTGGTAGTGCCCTTTTCCCTTACTGCTGCCTGTCTTCCCAGTGTGTCCCCATCCCCAAATTCTTGTGGTTTTAAGGAAATCACTGGAATAAATCCTAAACCTATCTGTAGTAGTCCAGCACCCTTTTCAGCTTTCTCATGTCTTTGGTGAGAGGCTAATCACAGATTACTGTACCAATTTGGACCCTTCTGTCTGCTTTGGCTAAGTGATCGGAATAACTGAGCTAAATTAACATATCAAACATATGGGGGCTTCCTCAAGCTTCATGAGTTTTTCTGAGTGTACTGTGTAGGGGACTGGATGAATAATTAGGAATAAAAGTTACTAGTTCCAGTGTTCCTGAGAAGCATCACTAAAGGATTTTTTTCATCCCTTAATTATAAATCTATAAATGCATTAATAGATTGTTCTGAAGATGCACTTCCATATATGAAGAGTAAGTATATTGCCTTTCCTATCTAAAGTGCAAACTACTAAAAGGCAGAAATGTGTATCCTAACCCCCAGAAAGCCTGTTTCTGGGATTACTTTATACCTACCTGATGCTCCCAGAAGCTTTTTCACCGGCTTAGATTGACTATTTGTGATTAAGTGTTGAATGAAAGGTGAGAGAAAGTGAAAGGAGAGGTGGGGCAGGCAGAGTAAGCTGGAAAAACGAGGAAATAGCTGGGAGGTGAAGGGGGGGGGGTACTTATGTAAGGTCAGTAAAACAAAAAGAAGAGGACAGGGTCAGGCCTTGGGGCTAGAGAGCTAATTCTGTCAACTAGTAGAGATTTGTATGCTTTGTCGAAAAGATAACTTCGGGAGAAAAATCTAGATTCTCCCATCTTCCCTGTTTACCAGAGTAAATTGTTCATCAAGTCAACCTACACTGTCTTCTAGGAATTCTGGTCCTCTTCAATTCTAGCAAAGAGCTTGTTGTCTCTGCTCAGGCAATCAAGGATACAATGTTTCAAGTAGTATTTGTGGATAGCTGTAAGCTTGATGTTTTATTCACAACTTAAGGAGCAACTGTGGAGTACAGCTGTTGTCCCTATGTTGAGCTTCAACAGCTTGCCAGGTTCCTGCACCTGCTTGTAGGCCTGGACCCAATGACTGAGCTTTAGGCAGTGTCTAGTTCAGGGACTGCTCAGGGTCAAGAAACATCTTTAAAGGAGTGAATTCCCTCCTTAGCCAGATGTTATGCTGTCGTGGCCTTGTGTTGCCATCTCTTGGCTTACTTTCTACAGTGGAGCAGCCTTCCTAAAGCTTAGTCTAGCTAGTCTTGTGATGCCGCATCAGTGTCTTAGGTCACCACTGCTCACTTCCCTCATGCAGGGAGCATAATACATCAGTTCCTCAACACCTGTTTCATTATTCCCTGTTCCCTTTTTTACCAGGAATGGAGGGATCCACAGCAGAACATCAGATTGACCCGATGAGGCTTTTTCTTAATTCTAGGTCCATGAAAGGGAGAGGAAGGACTACGGACTCAGAAAGAGGGAACCATAAGATCCGCCTGTATTAATTAATATGCTAACTCTTTGGAGATTTCTGAGAAACACAATCCTTCCTGAATTCTGGACTACTAAATCTGGTGTGAAGAAATTATCAATGAGGTGTGTCTATCAGGGTTCGGGTTAAAGAATATTCATTTGATTTATCTGTTTTTGCTCTGCCCCTACTCTTCATGACATTTGGACAGGCATTAATAAGTAGTGATCTCTTGTTGCAAATGAATAGTGTTTTTCTGGTAATGCAGATGAAACAGCACAATGCTGTTCAGTTTCATTACATCCATCTTTTAACTAGTGGAATGTGTGTGGGGTGGAGGCTAAAGCCACTGAAAAGAGTTTTACCTCTGTACCAGAATAGCTTCATGTAAGGATTTAATTTATGTTTTTGACTATTAGCATGATGATGTAACTGAGCTAAGCTTTTAGTTGGGTTTAGGCCCACCAAGTTTGTGTGACTTGTTTTTTCCAAGCTGAGCCATTACCCGGGGCTTGGGGCATCTGAGGGCAGGGAGGAACAGGTGGCCAAAGGAGAAATGTTTGGTGCCTGAGAGTATGTTTTCCAGTTGTATTGAATTTCTTACTTGGTGTATTTTTGACCTTACTTTCTTTCCTTCTTATGTGCTATGCTATTTTGCTGGCTATTTGTTAGATGTTCTCTGTCATTTAGGAGTTGTGAAACAGAAGTTAGCTTTTCTACTTAAATGCTTTGTGGATGGAACTGATAGGTTTAACATTGATTTCTGGTAGCTTCTTTCTAGAAGAGTTAAACTGATAAATGTGTTTCTATGGCTTTGGACTTGTTTTTGGCATCTTGGGGATGTGACCCTTCTTAGAAACAAGTGTTTTAGAACCCTCAACTACTAGCTGAACTAAATGTCTACCAGGAAAATGAGTGGATTTATTTCCTTTACCTTTGTTCTCTGTGATTGTCTAGCTGTCAAGGAACTTAAATAGGTATTCAGAGAAAAAAATTCTCCCTTGTTTCCCCTTCCTCACCTTACCAGTTAAAGCAGAAATAACTAGTGATGACACTTTAGGTGGTAGAATTGAAACACAAACCCAGCTTCTGACCACATGGGCCACAGGCAATTGGCTTAAGCCCTTAGTGTGGTTATGAAGTTGGGGTGGACTGGAAGGGGGTGGGGAGATTACTTCTGCTTTCCTCCTGAGAAGCTTGGCTGGGTGTTGTTGTTTTGGTTTGGTTTGGAGGAGGGGGGCGGGGTGCTTCCTTTGGTAAAATGTTCTTCCTTTCCTCCTTGATTGCATTGAGGCTGGTAATGAAGGGTAAACACTTCTCTCTGGCCAATGTTTTTTTGGTATTTGCAAATATTCCATTCTTGGCTTTTCCTAGATTTGTTGTCAGTTCTAGCTTTTTTGCATGAAGAATAAGTCCATTAACTTGACAGATTTGAAGCCTCTTCTAACTTCTTTGGAGTAGATATTCCCTACTGAAAGTTTTGGATTTGATTTGTTTTCAATTTGCTGAGAAGTCTTACTTGGGGACAGGTAATTGACAACAGCAGAGATGTTTCCTATTCCTAGGATTCTAAATCTAATTATAAACCCAGTGTACTCACAGGATTTTAAAATTCTCTCCGAAATAGGAAGGAAATATCCTGTTACTTTCTAATGTTTGCTAAAAGTTGTCTTTAGAAAAGCTGATCTAAGTTTTCAAGTAATCTCTACCCCCAACGTGGGGCTCAAACCCATGGCCCCCACATCAAGAGTCACATGGTCCTCCAACTGAACCAGCCAGGCGCCCCCTAGAAAAGCTGATCTTAATAGGTATCTTCCTTTGTCATGTGTCATTAGCCTTTTGTCAACTTACATTAGAGCTCGTAAAAGGAGAGAGGGATGAGGCATGGTGAAAAACCTGTTACTCTGAAAGAAAGTGAGAGGAATAATTAACTGTTTTTGTGGACTTCACAGCCCCAAAATTAATCTAGAACCAACTAATAGCACCAATAAAAATATTTACTTAGGACTTCTTATATTACAGGAAATGTTCTAAGCATTTTACATACATTTCTCATTTAATTCATAAGTCATCACTGTGAGATAACGTATTTATTTTGTCCTCATTTTCCAGATGAGGAAATAAATCCCTGGAAGGTTAAATGACAGGTTATGTAAGCTGGGGCAGAGGAAGTGGGAAAGAAGAACCTGAATAAGATGAGGAGGAGGGGATCTTGAGTTTTATTTGGGTGGATGTAGGCAGACTTTTTTTTCTTTTTTTGCTTAGACACCAAACATTTCAGTTATCATATTTGAAGGTAACACCACTGATTCACCCACTGAAAGTTGTTCACAGTAATCAGGACGAATTTACTGTCTTTAGACATCCTTAGTCTTTTCACTTTCTCCAGTACTGTCTGTGGAAGCTGGTTTGAGGAGAGGCTCATTTGTTTGTGGTTAAGGATATTGTCTGTCCTAAGGGTAGAAATGCCCCTTCTAGGGATGGAGTCTTTAATCTTATTGGTTAACCTCCTTATATTCCTCAAAACATTTGGACCTGATTGTTTTTGAGTAATTGTTCCAAAATTTTGGATATTTTCCCTCTGGAAAATATCCTAAGGTTTAAAATTTCATCTGAATTTAAAAAGTTGTTAAATTTTCTTTTTAAGGGAGGGTTTGGGGAGCAATCAGGAATTTGGGTTTCCTCTCATGGATAGAGATAAAATTAGCCATTTTCCTCAAGAAAAGTGATACTTCTGAATCCCAGCTCTTCGTTAATGAGAACTGGACTGTTTTCATTTGACCTCTACTTCCTGTTGGTGGGAAACAGAGGTGCTGTGAGAAAGATTGCTGGAGAAGGGTTTCTAGATCTCGGAATAAGTTCAAGAGTCTGGCAATATTGTCATTAGAATAATGGTCTTCATAAGCGCTAGTTTTCATGATCCTAAAGATTCATTTTTAACACCCTTTGAAAGGCTGTAAAGTAGGAAAGGCTAAACTGGGGAGGAGGAAAACTTAGTAGATAAATTACATAGACCTTGAGGTGATTCTGTGCTCAAGAAGCAGAGACGTGGAGTCACTGAATGAACATGAAAGAACAGGCAGTGTCTACAGTCAGAACTGAAAGGTTTTAGTTTACCTAGTTAATTCCTTAGATTTACATCTTCGTTCCCTCCTTATCTTGCATGTGCATATAAACTTAGGCTTACTGAGCCATTTTATTTTTCTCCCCAAATAAGACTAATTTTATAGGAGACATAGGGGCCACTGCAGCAGCTAAGCTGAGGAACGTATGAGAAACTGTTCATTTTCTGTCCCTTCCTGTCTTAGGCTGATCTGTCCCTTGATGTGCTACCTGCTTCTGCTACCGACCCATACTGCAGACTTCTCATTCATCCCCAAGGCCTCCAAGCAATGTCCAATAGGGAATCGACTCTAAAAGGGACCAGACCAGACCAGACCAAAAAGGTGTGCAGCCCTTTCATTGTGGTGACTGAGGGAAGGAAAGAATGGGAGGGGGTATACATGTGTAGTGGATGGAAGGGAAACAGACGGTCAAATTACTATATCTCTTCAGTTTCTTTTAGAATAGAATTCTGCAACCATACTATTGTGTAAATATAGGGGAAGTTCAAGATGGTGACCTTAATTAGAATATGTCTGGAGAGGAATAAATGGAGTGTGTGACATAAGACACCGTTGGTTATGAAAGATGTTGAAGTCCTGAAATAATGTGACCATCTGAGGAATTTTTTTAAGCCAGAGTTTATAAAAATATCACCAATACAGCCTGCCCCCTCACTGCCCGCCACAGGAGACTTCTTGGACTGGAGACATTTGTTTAATAATAGCTTGTCTCTGATATTCCCAGTAGCTACCTCTCTGAGGAGAGGATAGCAAACGTTCAGGACATCATCCTACAAAGTTCCAGTAGCAGTGACGCCTACACGGAAGACTTGGAACTGCAAACAGAGGCTGGGGTCACCTCAGTGACATCTGACGCCGTCCAACCACAAGTTCGATTTTTGTTCTGTGGGGCGAGAAAGACTGTACTAAAAGACAAAAATAATTTCTTATCTATACTTTCTCACTTGTTTTTGTTAATTTTTTTGGCGGGAGAGGGGGATGTTCGGGCAAAATTTCCTATCCTCTCTGGCGTTAAGGGGAGGATGGGAAAGCTCAGCCCTTCGCCCAAGAATAAGCCAGTAATGACATCTCTACGCGTGGGAAGTGTTTCCCTCAGCTGGGAGGATCTGAGGCTGCACCCCAGTGGGATTCCTTGCTAGAGCTGGAGGGCCGCTCCGAGGTAGATGCACATCGCAAGCAGGAGTGCGGAGGGGTTAGCTGGCTGGGGATGAAATACCAGACGGGAGAGACACTCCAAGTCCTGGGGGCTTCCCCCAATTTGGAGGCACGGTAGCGCGGCGCATACGGGACTGAAGAGCCAGGTGACCGCCGTGGCCTGCGCCTGCCGCCGAGGGTCTGACAGGGACGCGACGCTGCTGGGCACCGCGTTGGAGTCCCGGGAGACGGCGCCGCAGTGCCCAGCGAGTCCGCGCCAGACCCTGGCGTCCTCCATCTTCTCTCCTGCGCTCCCCCTGCTCCGGCTGCCTGAGCCGCGGACCGCAGCACCACACACCCCCGCGGGGGGGGACGCCGCGCCCCATCCCCGCCCCCGGCCCCACCCCAGCCCCCCCGCGGAGGCCCTGACCCCACCGCCGGCGGGCGCTGGCTGAGCTCCGAGGCGGCGAGTCTGCGGCGGGGACGCCCAGAAGGGGTCCGGGCGGCTGGGGGCGGCGGCGGCGGGTCGGGGCTCCCCCCCCGCCCGCGCTCGCCGCGGCGGTGGTGCGTCCCGGAGGTTACCGGAAGTGGCCGCGCTCGGCGCTGCCATGTTGAGGAGCCGCCGCTGCCGCTGCCGCCGCCGCCGCCGCCTGCTTTGTTGTCGCCTCCTCGGCTGAGGCTTGAGCAGGGAGTGGGGAGGGAGGGGGTCGGCCGCCGCAGCCATGGAGGCCAACTGGACCCTGTTCCAGTGCAGGGGCCCCCCATTTTGAGGGGGGGGGACAGGGCCGGGCCCCGGGCTGGCAGACGGGCAGGCGCTCCTCCTCCCCCTCCCTCCCGGCTCCGCTCTCCCGGCCCGGCCTTAATCCCCTTTGTTTTCCGCCCGCCCGCCCGGCAGGCAGGGTGAGAGGCGGCCTCACGGGGTGCGGGGAGAGCAGGCCTCGGGGTGAACCCGGGCCCCCTATTTTACTCACGCACACGCACACCCTCCCCGCCCTGAAGGAAGGGAGGAGGCCGATCGCTGTCACCACCCGCGGCCCAGAGAAAAGGAGGGCGCCAGGCCGCTGGATAGCGCGGGCCGCCCAGCCCTGCGCATCAGCCCAGGCCCGCACCGTGGGGGTGAGGAGTCCCAGGTCCTCTGGGACACCCCCCACACACACACACTTCATCCATCTTTCGCTCTCCTGCCGTTTAATCTCCCTCTCTTTTTGTGTATGTGGTGACTTTATTCATCCCGCAGACCATGGTATCCCTGGGTTCCCCGCCACTCCCCCTTCCCGCCCCCCGTGTTTACCCTGTTAAGGGTGTTCTGAATCAGTCTCCCTCCTGAAGCTTTTTCACTGGATTACATTTTTTCTCTCGCAAGCCTTTGCCGAACCTTGGCAGCTGACACCCTCTCCCTCTGTCCAGCTCTCCCGCCGTCCCATTCGGCCAGGAATCCCCAGCCAGACGGGGCAGGAGGAGCAGAGAGCCAGAGACTCCAGGAGGCCCGACCTTCTCCCGGAGCAATTTTCCCTCTCGTCCCACCTCGAACGTTTCCTCCTACCAAGTGGGGGAGACGGAAAGTGGAGACAGCAAACAAAGTCCGCTTACAAAGCCCCCAGATGAGTCATTCGTTGGGGTGTTGGTCTACACTTTCTGCAAGAAACTTAAAAGTGACTGTAGCCGATACGTTGGCACTCCTCTTGCCCGCCTGTTTTAGGTGGGGGACCCCTGTTGGGAAGACCTAGGCTGGAACTTATTTTTTCCCTGCCTCATTTCTATTTGCAAACGAATCGCTTAGTGGGCAGTAGTGATGAGCTCACGGGAAAACTTCGGAACCGGAGGAGGTTAAGAAGCTTGTCACTTTAAATGCGTTCTTCCCGCCTCTCTGGGTTATTTTCCTTCTTTGAATAACTGTGAAATCCCAAACGCCTTGCTTGGGCGCTGGAGACCTTTGAAACTAACCAGGAATGGATGCAGAATTCTCAAAAAATCCTCCCAGCCACTGGACCCATCCCAGTGGAGATAATATAGGGAATTGGATAATTCAGACATTACCTATTGTGTAGAGCTGGTATATTGTTTTCAAACATATTTTCTTTCAAATGTGAGTAAATTTGATTTTTAAGTAGTTATTGAAATATATTCGGGCTTCTTAAAATTGAAGATACACAAAATTTGTCAAACTTCTTTTCTCATTCTGATCTAGTATTGTTTTATCATGCTTTAAGTCTACCTAAAAAATGCATTGGGGAAGATATGATGTATAACTACCTGGCATCCAGATTGGTGTAAAGGTGGCAAATGCCCTCTCTAGAAAACGCTTTCAAATGGTCTTTTTAAAACATGGGATTAATGGGCCACCTAAGTGATTTTCATTTGAAGAATGCTTTAGATTTACCATATTAAATCTGCTGTATGTAAACTTAATGGTGATTGAAAAAAAAGGAGAGTTCTTTATGTAAAGGAAAAACCTATAACTAAATTTTGGAAAGCTAGTTGAACATTTTTTTGGAATACTTTTATTCTTTTCCTGGATAAGACAAATGCCAATCATTTATTGATCAACTTGTTAATTAGACTTTATATTATTGAATTTTTTTTCAGCAATTAAAATCTTTTTCTCCACCTGATGGAGAAGTGTGAAAGCTAATATTTGATCCTGGGTTTGGCAATGTGTGCGGTGAAAATTGTTGGAAAAATAATTTAGAGCCAAAGACAGTGGAATGGGTTCAGAGAATATTTCAGTCTTTTCTATAGAAAGGTATGAATAGACTTATTCAGTTTCAGTTTTAAGTAATTTTCCCTGGGGAAATGGGAGAGTTAAACTCTCTCGTTTGTTTCCTAGAGCATACTGTGGAATTTGTATTTTAAAACAGTTTAATACCTGCTTGCTTTCCAGATAACCTGGTGGAAAGTGAAAGCCATAGCTGTTAAGATGTTTGATGGATGATTCTCCTAACAGGACATTCAAGATATGACTCACTGATGCTAATTTGTTTCAGTACAAAATCTTTTGCCCTCTGGCACTGGAGATTTCATGGTGCTATATCCTACCACCCTGGGTGATGAAATAACATTTCTGTTTTGTTTTTTGCCAACCCCAGAAAAAGGAAGGCTTGGGCAGGGTTAAAAAAGCCTTCAAGTTGAAAGAGATGGGAGATAAAATGAAAGCTTTGGTTTGATGATACTAGTCAAATAAAAGTCTACCCAGAATTTTTTTTTTTCTTTAATCACTTAACTGAAGGCAGGCCATGGTGGTTATTTTACTCTGTCTCTCCCTCAGTGAACAAGTTGGGGAAATCCAGTTCCCCTCTTAGAAGGCTTCACGTAGAAGTGTGGGGATCCTAGGAATCCTCAGAGAGTGATTCCCATAGTGGTCGAGGCATTCTACAGCATTTCACCCAAGAAGCAGGGACCTGGTGTGACCCTCGTGTGAGAGTGAGCTTCAGCAATGCTGTAAAAATACTTTATGTTGCCACAGACCTCTGAATTGGTAAAATGGCAGTAAGTGCTTTTAGTACTCCATCGAACTAATGGTTGTTCAGAATTGAAAAATGCCTCTAAACACTATAAGTCTGAACTTTGGCCAGAAGATTTGCATTCCCTATTATCTGATCTGTTAGCCTTTGAAATTGTATATCGTGAGCTATCTTCAGCTATTAACTGTTTGTATACTCTATGGAAACTTGGGTATACAGGTTGGAAAGGGGGTAAGATTTGCATCCAAATTCTGTAAAGTTTCTACTAATGTCTCCTGGGCAGACACTGACATTTACAGTAGCTCCATAAATTAAATTAAAAGTGGACTGTAATTCAGTATGATCCCTGAGTCCAGAAAGATACTCATGAGTAAGCACACAATTTCTGTATTTCCAGGACTGAAAGGGTGATTCAACCAAAATTATTAAATTGAAACTGGTAGCTGTGGATACCACACTTCCTAATGATTTGGGGAGACTGGTTCCAGGCTTAGCTGCTGTGCTGCCGTCACGTAAATATTACAGCTATGTGAGATAGACACTCTTATCCATCAGGGGAGAAGCTCTGAGCATGTGTGTCTGTCTCCTTGTTATTTTCTTCTTAATCAAGTTAACTGTAGGATCTGTGATTATAGAGTGAGAAGGGTAAATAAGTGGCTAGGGTGTCTAAGATGATGGGATGGGCCCTCCTAGGATGTTGTGTGCTTAAAATATTTGGAACTCTTGCCTTCGAATGCATGTATCCTTTTAGGATTACAAAACTCAAGCATAGGGGCTTGAGCCCACTATCAAAAGTTGCAAAAATAATGGTGGTAAAAAGTACAACGTATCAGGAAGAACTATTTCAGGAATTTTCCCCATCATTTCCTAATTGTTTATCAGTATGGAGAATTTTAAAAGAAGCAAAACCAAGAGAGTAACTACTCATAAATACCAAGAACATGATCCACGACAAAATTTTGGTTTCAGTGCAGCTAAAGAAAATTTCTAGACAGCGTCCAGTTCTGGAGTGGAGAAGCACATTATAACAGCAAATGTCTAATACTTTAACGAAACATCCAAGTGCTGGAAGAAGATGGAAATGAAAGGAATTTTAATTATTTACGGTTTGTGTTCTCTTGCTAGTCCGTCTCTGAGAGTTTCAGGTTTGAACAACTAGTGTTGTTAAAGGATGCAGATTTCCAGCGTAAGAGTAAATGAACTGGGAAACAACTGACAGGTGTTTTGCTGTGGGCTACCTTCACACATGCCTTCCAGGCTGATTAATAGCAGGTTTAATTTCAGTCAATCTTTTAGTAATAAAGTAAAGTAAAAACTTTAAAAGGAAACTTACCAAACCGTGTTTGTATTCAGAGAGCTAGATTCCTGTTATCTCTTAGCAACAGCCTCCTTCCTCCAGCCCTAAGTTTTCTGATGGAAAGGGAGAGACAGTGCCTTTCTTTTCCTAGGTAAAATAGACAAATAGATGATTATGTGTATACATGTGTATGTATATGAATGTGTAGTGTGTGTGTTACTGCAGTAAGGAACTCGCAGATACTTAGTCTGGAGTGTGACTTTTTTTTTTTTTTTTTTTTTTTGGACAAGTTATTTAAATTTGGTTTCAGCACTGACAGACTAACGCAAACTGATTCCATCCGCTGGTATGTCCCTTATGAACCAGGGTGGTGTGTAGTCAGCTGTTTGAAAGCAAGATCACTGTCAGCAACTTGGTCATAAAAGTTTTGTGTCTGCACAGTGATTTTAATGCTTTGTACTGGAAGCTCTAAGGGTCTCTAGGTGGTTGCTGGATCACTGCTGCAGGGAGTAGCTTACAGGCTCTTTGATTGTTTCTTCTGGTCTCTGTTGTCTGTGGGACATGTTGAATTTTGAAGGCCATTGTGAGAGGCTGAGTTTCTGAAGTGTAAATGTTTGGTTTTAGGCCCATGAAGCCTCCCATCACCAACAGCAGGCAGCACAGAACAGCTTGCTGCCCCTCCTGAGCTCTGCTGTGGAACCCCCTGATCAGAAACCATTGCTTCCAATACCAATAACTCAGAAACCTCAAGCAGCACCAGAAACATTAAAGGATGCCATTGGGATTAAAAAAGAAAAACCCAAAACTTCATTTGTGTGCACTTACTGCAGTAAAGCTTTCAGGGACAGCTATCACCTGAGGCGCCACGAGTCCTGCCACACAGGGATCAAGTTGGTGTCCCGGTCAAAGAAAACTCCCACTACGGTGGTTCCCCTCATCTCCACCATCGCTGGGGACAGCAGCAGAACTTCGTTGGTCTCAACCATTGCTGGCATCTTATCAACAGTCACTACATCTTCCTCGGGCACCAACCCCAGCAGCAGTGCCAGCACCACAGCTATGCCCGTGACCCAGTCTGTCAAGAAACCCAGTAAGCCTGTCAAGAAGAACCATGCCTGCGAGATGTGTGGGAAGGCCTTCCGAGACGTGTACCACCTCAACCGGCACAAGCTCTCCCATTCGGACGAAAAGCCCTTCGAGTGTCCTGTTTGTAATCAGCGCTTCAAGAGGAAGGACCGGATGACTTACCATGTGAGGTCTCACGAAGGAGGCATCACCAAACCCTATACTTGCAGTGTTTGTGGGAAAGGCTTCTCGAGGTACTGCATTTTGCTTTGCTTTGCTTTCATTATGGTATCAGTGAACTTCAGTTTTGTCTCTTTGCGATCTAGAAGGTTTATGTGAGAATAGCTGTGGGCAGGCCTGTGTTATTAGAGGAGATTGGTGATAGATAAAGTATTACACCTCCAGGTCTCATTTCAGTGTGGTGTGGTTGGCAAGTGATGACACAGTGATTAGCTTAATATTTCAGCTGAGAAGTGCCTTGGTGGACTGGGGTCTTCATTTGGCACATCAGTAATTCTGGTCACTGCAAAACCACTAGTTTCCAATTCAGTCGGGTGACTAGATACGAGGTTCACTGTGCAAATCAAAGAAACTTATTTCCTGGCAGTTGGGATGACCTTGGATACTCATAGTAAAAGTCGTAGGAGGACGTTTTTCCGTTTATCTGTGGTTACTAACATTTCACTAATTTTCATTTTCAAGGCTTTTAAAATTAATAGAGTAGTAGCTGTCTTTGGCAAGTGTTAGGACTAAAACTTTGGGTATTTTATAATTTAAAGAACCAAGACCTAACATGATTTGATGTTGACTAGGAGAGAAAAATTAACAGGTAAAGAACTAAGACTTTTGTTTGTGGTAAGAGAGGTAAGGAGGCTTGCGCTGGGGGGAGGGGGAGTTGGTAATTCGGCTAGCTTTCTTTAAAATGCCCCCCACCCAAAGCTGCCAAGCATGTAAACATCACAGTGAGTAGCATTTCTCAATGTGTGTTCCATTACATCTTCTGTTGAAACTCTCTCTTTCACAGGCCTGACCACTTAAGCTGTCACGTAAAACATGTCCATTCAACAGAAAGACCCTTCAAATGCCAAGTAAGAGTTAAAATGACTTATCCTTAGTGTAGCACTTAATGCACATTATCCAAAAGGTCTGAGCCAATCAAATCTCACCGTTCTTGAATAGTCTTAAAATCACTGACTTGAGTAAATGTGGTCCATTTGAATTCTGGTTTTATACGAGATAAATGACAGCTTCTATTTCTGTGAGGCAAGAGCATTTAAAAATGTAAATGTGTTGTTTTTGTTAAGCTACATTTCCCTTTCCTTAGGCAACAGTATTTATTGTTATAAGAAAAAAATTTATAGTCTGGCAAAGGTCATTATGTGTTTGAAATGAATGAAATAAATGAATGAAATGCTTTAAATTATTTGCTGGGTTGATGATTGAGGTTGTTTTAACTGTAATAGAAGAAAACTAGGAATTTTCTCCCAAATGTTATCACTTACTGGATGTTTGTCTGCCAAATTGGGGTATTTTCTAGTTGTTTGAAAATCTGTTGATTTTATTTCACATAAGTTGTGATAATGAAAAGGTTAGGAATCTTGCTAAATCAGATGACTTTTTTAGACCTCAGTAATTTTAGTTTGTTGTTGGAAGTCTTTTTGTGCTCCTTTCAGTTAAATGTGTTAATGACTGACTTTATTAAGTAAATGATTTGAACTGTAAGAAAAATCCAATTCGAGGAAGGAAGCTAGTGTCATTTGAATGAGTGCCTGCTATGTGCGAGGCCTCGGGCCAGTCTCTTAATCCCACCAATAAATTTGTGAGGTAGGTATTATTTACCTTCATTTTACAGATGAAGAAACACATTCAGATAGGTTAACTAATTTGCTCAGTGTTACCTTGTCGTGAATCAAGGAGCTGGATTTAAATCCAGGTTTAACTGACTCTACGGCTCACATCTTTTCAGTACTTACTCTGTGTTGATATTTTTTCTTCCCTCAAAACGTAAGGGTCTAAAATTCATCGAGTGTTTTGTCATGATGGCGATTCTAGGTAACACATGCAGTTCAGATTCAACTCAGTCTGCTTGCGGACATGGATAGGGTAATGCCTAGAATATAACGTACTTTAAAATGAGTAGAACAGGATAGTCTATATTTAAAAAAAGTTTTCCTCCCTCATGCAGACATGCACTGCTGCCTTTGCCACCAAAGACAGACTGCGGACACACATGGTGCGCCACGAAGGCAAGGTATCGTGTAACATCTGTGGGAAGCTTCTGAGTGCAGCGTACATCACCAGCCACTTAAAGACACACGGGCAGAGCCAAAGTATCAACTGTAATACATGTAAACAAGGCATCAGTAAAAGTAGGTGACACTTCAAATTATATTTCTGTCGCATTTGAGATTGGTGAAATCTGAGTGTTTTGATAATGTATTGAAGGTATTTTCACTGTGCTGTCAGTACATTCACGTTCATCTTACATGTTTCCTCCCATCACCAAAGCGTGTAAACACACATCAATGGAGAGTAGATACTGATGTTAGAAACAGACCTCACCTGTGTGTATACAGACAGCATTGACAAGCCCTCCGCTAATTTTGCTTTCAGTCCTGTGCTTGTCTACTAACGACACCCAAGTTAGAAAAGCATAATTTTCCCGTAGCTGTTTTTCAATGCGTCCCTTCTTCTATAGAGTTTGACTAAAAGGCTCTAGTGTTTTAGAATTGCGGCAGCAGAAGCCACACTAGGAAGTTGCATCTTATGCTGGGCAATTTTGATTGTTTTTATTCAGTGTTAGGAAGATTCTCAAGCATCAATGTCTCCTAACTACTGATTGAGTTAATAACATGCCCTTAATAACCTTAAAGATGAAAGGAGTGTTATTAAGTTTGCTTTTCAGACCCAGATCTGTAGAGATAGGATATTCTATCCATTTGAAGGTGTTAAGTGCTTTGCCCACCTTAAATTCAGAATTGAAAATGGACTCTTTCAGGGACTTGTGGATAAAACCTGATACTTGCATCTGCCCAGGCTTTTTCTTTGAGATTGCCCTAACCACCAGGAGGAAGTATATTTCTCATTCCGTATCCTATTATATATGTACTTTGTGCGGCAGAAACATTAAGTTCTCAGAATAGGTGGCCAAAAGTGAGTGGGAAAGAACGTTTATTGTGTTTTAATCTCATCCATTTTCCTTCTTTGTAAGTACATTGGGTTTATTATCTAGCATGTCACACTTTGTTAACTTTACAAAAACTTACTTCTAGTGTATATTGTTGTGGTCAAGTAACCACCTAACTATATTAGATATTTTGGTGAGTGTGAATTTGTCCATTCTAATGTTAACGAAGTTCCCTTCCAAAAGACACTTGCTTTTCAATATAGCAAAGAATTCTTTTTTCCTTTTATATTGATTTTCCCTAGTTTTCTAGATTCTTTTCTTAATTTATCTATTTTGACCAATATAGACAGAAGCAGCAAAAGAAGATGCTCTGTAGTAAAAACTATCAAGTCCAATGATAAAGGTCAGAGAAGCATGAGGAGTCTAAGTATCCAAGTTTGGGGTTTTGAAAAAAATGGCTGCACTTTTTCAAGGTAAATGTAGCGTTTCTGGTTTATCTTTGGAGTAGCATGCATGAGTGAAGAGACCAGCAACCAGAAGCAGCAGCAGCAGCAGCAACAGCAGCAGCAGCAGCAACATGTGACGAGCTGGCCAGGGAAGCAGGTGGAGACACTGAGACTGTGGGAAGAAGCTGTCAAAGCAAGAAAGAAAGGTAAGATGAGGCAGTCAGTGCTCAAAGTGTGGCTAAAGAAGTGTTTTCGTTCTGTAGTTTATTTTCTTAAAGCTTTGCTATTTTCTGCTTTGTAGTGTTCTTTCTGTGTTGTATTATTCATTACGTGTTTCCGACTTTATAGTGCTGATAATCTTTTCTCTTGGTCTTATCCTTAATCTCATTCAGTCTGTCACTGGGGCTGGCATTAGCTTAACATATATGTACCAAGTTGTCGGGAACTTTAGTTGTTACTAAAATTGAGAATGGTTCCCTTTCCTTTCATGTATCTTCTAAAGAATCAGAGCATCACTTTTCAACATAGCTTTTTAACTTCATACCTATAGCTTTTGGCTTCTAGACTGTTGTGCAGCCATTTCAAATCAATCTTTTTGTCTATGTACCATCAGCCACGGGAGAGATTCCCGAAATTCCTTCTTTCCTTCCTGACCCCTACCATGTCTTATTCCTGTTTTATTTTAAATTCATAAGGAATCCCCTGGATGTAGGCTTCTTGTAATCCTTTGCTGTGTGGTTTTTTTTCCCTCTTTCACTTTCATGTAGTACGGCTGTTGCCTTGCACAGATCCCTTCTAAACACCCTGTACTTGGATAAAGATAAAAGGAATAGCCTCCTTTCTCATACATGTACTGGCATCGCAGCCAGATAGGCTTTCCACCCTTCCTCAGCTGCCACTTGCTCCTCTCTTGAAAATGAAAATTTGTCATTGTTCTAATAAAATGCTATATGGTTAGGAGAAGGGGTTGGGGGGGTGGGGGGAATGTATACGTGCCATGACAATTGCCCAGTGAGTGAAAGAAAGCATGTTACGGAGGATGTTTTACTTAAAGGAGTTGAGAGTAAAATTGTTGAAGTCCTGGAAAAAGATGATGTCAGACTGAAAGGAAAATGTGCAGGGTTGGGAAGGTGGCGCATGTGAGGGTGAAAGCTCCCTCTTTGGTATAAACAAGAATATCCTTAGCAGTGCTACCATCACCTCAAAAGTGAGTTGGTTTTCTCTTTCTTTCTGCACTCTTCCATTTGGTGTTGTATTTCAGTTTGCTTGCACAATAAGACTTGATTGTTTAGCTCATCTTCTGACCTCCATGAAACAAAATGCTATTGTAGTCCCATTTGTAGCATGAATATCTCTGGAAACCACCACTGATGTTAGAAACTTCTATATTCATGTTAGTAAAATGTCACATTTGGGGGCAGAGGAGACTCCTGCCCTGAAAATCTAAACTTGAATCAACGTGTCTCTTTTTTAAATAAGATAATGTTAAGTTCCCAAACCTGAGTGACAATCAGATCACCATCTTGGGAACTTTTTAAAAATACAGATATCCGGGTCGCCTGGGTGGCTCAGTGGGTTAAGCGTCTGGACTCTTGATTTCGGCTCAGGTCATGATCTTGAGGTTAGTGGAACTGAGCCCCGTGTCGGGCTCTGTGCCGACATTGCAGAGCCTGCTTGGGATACTCTCTCTCCATCTCTCTCTGCCCCTCCCCTGCACACACACTTGTGTGTGTGTGCGCCCTCCCTCAAATAAACATTAAAAAAAAAAAACAACAACAACCCAGATTTCCAAGATTCATGTAAATCTCACTATTGAATTTCCTGGGAGGCCTTTTTTTTTCTTTTTTTCCTTCAAGCTCCCTAGATAAATGATTTTGATCATCAGCCAGGTTTGGGAATTCCTGACAGAGAGTATGGAGTTCCATCATATTGATCAAGGAAGGGCTGCATGTTGACCCCAGGTTCCGTGTGGGAGTATGCAGACCTCCATCTTTAGTCTCAAATGTATTTCTCCATTTTGACAGCCAGGTTACACACAGCTAGCCCACCCACCTGTCTTCTTACTGCTGTTTTCTGACACACCAGCAGGTGGTGCTGAATTTTGTTGAGGGGTGGGGTGGGGGGGTCACCTCTGAGGCAGATTTTAAGAAATGACCAGGCATTGCTGGATAACAAGGACCAGGGTCCCCCAAATCACTGCAAGGGCTCCTTGATTAATTATTCCTCCTTGATATGGTTGATTTTATATGTGTGTGTGTGTGTGTGTGTGTGTGTGTGTGTGTGTGTGTGTGTGTATAGGCAATTAAATGACACTAGGCATAAAATTGTGTCAGCATCAGAAACACAAGAAATGGGAGTTTGGGAAGGAGAATATAAACCCATTCAGAGATATTTTGTCTTAACATAGTTAGGAAACCTAACCGGAAACAGGATTATTTAACTAAACAATTTTTCTAAGACTGAAATAAACATGATATTAAAATAGCCTTTTTACCAGTCCTACTTACAGATTTTTTAAAACCTTAACAGAATGTAGCTTCACCTCTGAATCTTTAGAGTTCATAGCAATGAGGACGCACAACTCTCTCCGCTAGTTACAGTGTGCCTTACCAGAAGATTTTTCTGATTACCTGTTCTTGTGTGACCATTGGCCCAGCGCTGTGTAAAACAGGCTCTTTCTCCTGGCCTGCCGATGGTTGGCTCTGCCTGCATGAAGCTGTAGTGAGAATACTAAGCCCTGCTTGCTATCTCTGCCCCCCAGAGTGCCTTGCAGAAATTAACTGATCTTCCCAGCATCACTGTGAGGTAGGTACATAAATCTAAACTTGAAACCAAAAGCACCAGGCTGAACAGGTTGCCCAAGTCCTTGTGGGAGGTACAGCATCAGAAAAGAGATTCATGCACCCCGCCCCCCCAGTTCTATGTTCAGAGAGCCTCCCTTCCTGATGACCACTTGGTAGAAAACTGTGTTTTCATTCATGAAATGTTTGTCCTTTTAATTAAAAAAAGTTGATTCAGAAACTGTGCATTTTGTTCATTGCTTTGGGAGTCTAAAGGCCATTTTGTCTTCTTATTTTAGAAGCTGCTAACCTGTGCCAAACCTCCACGGCTGCTACGACACCTGTGACTCTCACTACTCCATTCAATATAACGTCCTCTGTGTCGTCTGGGACGATGTCAAACCCAGTCACAGTGGCAGCTGCAATGAGCATGAGAAGTCCAGTAAATGTTTCAAGTGCAGTTAACATAACCAGCCCAATGAACATAGGGCACCCAGTAACTATAACCAGTCCGTTATCCATGACCTCTCCTTTAACACTCACTACCCCAGTCAACCTTCCCACCCCTGTCACTGCTCCAGTGAATATAGCACACCCTGTCACGATCACATCTCCAATGAACCTGCCCACACCTATGACGTTAGCTGCCCCTCTCAATATAGCAATGAGGCCTGTAGAGAGCATGCCTTTCTTACCCCAAGCTTTGCCTACATCACCACCTTGGTAAACAGTATTATAAAATCAAAATATGGGTTAAAGTAAATATTTACCAGCAACTTACTTTTAGTTTATTAAAGCAAAAAGTAAACCATGAAATCGGGAGATTTTATTACATTAGTTAATAATAGTGTAGTAGCATTTTTCTCCAATTTGGCTGGGATTATTCAAAGTAGGGTGTGTATGTAACTTATCACTGGACCACTTTAGTCTAATCAGAAATTCCTTTTAGCTGACAGCATTGCTTAAACAGGATAGTAGTTGGCAAGATAAAACGCCAGAATTAAAAACCAATCATAAAAAAGCAAAACCCATTTCAAAATAAAAAAACAGCATTATTGTTTCTAATCCCAAGAAATCATTTTATTCTAAACACTAGCAAAACTCTTCTCCCCATATAAAGTGGATGGGTGGATGGCTGATTTTAACCTGAAGTCCTAAATCCACAGACAGAGAGCTAGTGTAGAATTGTCTGTGTTTATTGTTTTTATGAGTAAATACATGCATTGTCATAATAAAATGCATTTCAGAGAATATGCATTTTACCTTTGGGAATATGTTAATTTCAGGCAGCATTCCCTATGGGAAAGGTGATACCAGCTCTGATATGCAAAGCATATGATAATTTATCATTCTAACTTCAACATATAATAGGGATTGTGACCTGATATTTGGAGATGTAAATATTGCTCAGCATATTAATCCTGATGGAATATAGCATTGTAGTTGACTTTTTAAAAAAAAAAAAAAAAAATTAAAAAAACAACAACAACAACAACCAAAATATACAAATTGTGTTTTGGTAAGAAAAGGCCTCAACTGACAGCGGAGAAGTCAAGTGTGTGGACAGGCAGACTCCTAACAAACAGAGGCCAGTGGGACTCCTTTCAGGAGCCAAGGAATACTTTGGAACAGTTAAAATATATTGCTTTAAATTGGAAGATGCTGGAGGCACTGGGATGTGATATGCCCCTCTCTCTCCCAATCAGAGCCTGTTGATGTTACAACAGGGAAAGATGTGTTAGTTGCTCACTAGAGTTTATGTCTTATATTAAATTGTATACAGTTTTTATTCTAACCACTAACTAGGTAGTATGCCCCTTCAGAACAGCAGAGTGTATCTTTTTTTTTTTTTTAATTTCTCCTTCCGTTTCTTAATCAAGTATTGTTCAGATTTGTTCAACTTTGTAAATATGGACATCACTTTTTTTTTCTTTGAAAAAACACTTGTATCAGCTTTGTGGTGTTTTCAGGGAGACAGCTATCTGTACTCCCTGTAGAAACCCAGCAATGATTGTGCACGTTAAGACATGTGCTTTTTATTTCTTAGCAGGATGTTTTATCTCTGTACATAAAGTAGAAACCAAAAGTTAGGGAAACAGATACTCTTTACACCATCATGCCACACATGTTTTTAAAGCATTGTGTTTAAAAAAAAAAAAAAAAGTTACTAAAACCAAGACGCTGTGATTTTTTTAAGTTGCAATATGTTTTGGGTTTTTTTTTTCTATTTTAATCTTGCAGTTAAGAGAAGTGGAATTTAGTTGTATTAATCTTGCAGAATGTTTGCAGGACTGACTATCAAACTGGATGACTTCCGTTTATACCCCACTGTGTCAGTTCAAGCATCAAACACCTTACATCTGAGGCAGACTTCCTACATCAGGGACAGGTATCTGTGTGTCATTATACAAAACAGTTCGAGGGGGTTGAACTACGTAGTAAAAAATAAAATAGTACTTAGTGTAAAATAATTTTATAAATGATCTTTTGTACTTTAGGACATTAAATTGTACAACTTTTGTATATATAAAAGCTTAGGAACTTTCTGTTTAGCAGGAAGGCAACACATTCCTACACTTTTAATGTATATGTTTGTTATAATGTCCATGTAAACATGCCCTATGTTTGTGCCTTTTAATTAGTTTGTCTCAATAAACAAAATGTAGAGAAAAATATGTAGCTATGACTTTGTTACAACTGTTCTATCCACAGTACAAAGATGGTTTGTTTTAATCTTAGGCTTATATGTGTGACTGGAAGCACTGGACAATGTGGGAAGGCCATAACGTGGCCCCTACTGGATTGAGGTTAGGCAGTATAGTTAACATTTGGAGAAGTGATTTCCTGGCATGCAGCCCCAGGACTGGGTTCTGGCTCTGCCTGCTGGGACCTTCATTCTCTTTAGGTGGGCTTGTCGCAATCGCGTCCACGTGAGTTCGACAGCGGCTTCCTCCGTAGGCCCCAGGCAGTTCCTCGAACAGTGGGGCAGGTGTGGACCCTACCCCCAGGCTAGAGTGTGGTCGTCAGAACCCTGAAAGTATTAGTTCTTAAAAAAAAAAAAAAAAAAAAAAAAAAAAGATATATACTAGAAATGATTGTTTTATCAATTCATTGTATAATAAACAGGAGTGAGACTTCATTGTATGAGTTCAGTTAAAATGCTATTTTGTATGCATTCTTTATTCACTTAAGAAGCTTGTCTGCAATAATAAAGCCACGTCGTGTCTTCTTTTGGGAGGGAGAGAGTTGGCAGGAAGGGTGTGGCGGCGGGCCACTGAAGGGGGGGTGGCGATAGGTTGTGTGGTAAGATTCTCCTGTGTCTTGGAACTGGAATTGAGTTTTGATGCTGATGAACTGATTCAACCAAGTGTTGAAGGCACGACGGCCACCGCGCTACGAGAAAAGCAGAGTTTATTTTTCCCTTCTGGTTGTAACCTGGTTGAGAGCTTCCCTTTATCAGATTGGCAGCTAAACAGTTGTATTAGATAATCCTCAAATCTGACATCAGCCTGTTATGCTCTAGGGCTCGCTGCTTGGCCTGCATTTGCCTTTTATTGTATACCCATTTCCCTCCTAAGGTGTGCTCCTAAACGAAGGTTTCTATGTAAGCAGATGATGATTTTTCCTGTCAATACCAGCACTGTATTACTAACATGCAAAATACTGCAGATTTATTTTGACAAATTAAAGTTAACCGGTCACAAATGTTATGGATTGCTTAATATCTCAGAAGCTTCACCGGTTCACCGTGATGGTACAGCAATGTTGAAAGCACTTGCTTCTCCAGGTAGTATGCATCAGCACGGGGCTGGAGGAACGGGGAGGGACTGATGTCCAACTGGTTGGTACCGAGCTCCTGCAGAGAAGGGAGGGTGGAAATGCACCAGACTGACCCCACAAGTACTGCCAGTCCGCCTGAGGAAAGTCTAGGCAGCCAGGCCTTGGGGCGGTGGCCCAGGCTTAGGCCCCTGTTCCACCCAAAAGAGAAAATGGATTTAGAACATTTCTCATGCTCTCGAAGCCAATGTCTTTACTTGTAAAGGGTCTTAGGCCTGTTTGTGTTCAACCAGATCCATCAGATGTCCGTTAGGTGCCAACAATGTGCCAGACACCATCCGGCACTAAAGGACAGTAAAGGTGGTTCACATGTGGTTGCCACCTCGAAGGAGGCTGTTAAGAGACATGACAAGTACTCCAGTGACAGTATCACCAGATAGCAAATCAAGATGAACCTGACACTTCATTTAATGAAAAAGTTTTGGGTACCTACACCTGTTTTATATAGAATTGAGGCTTTTCAAACTTTTTCTGACGATTGCTTTAGTCTCTATGGACTCCGTGAAAACCGCTGGAGGAAAAGTGTTCCTGGTGTTTTTGTCCGGAAACAGGAAGTGTTATTTCACTGAGTTGCTAGTTAATCTTTACAGTCCTGGGTGTACAGGTCTCTCTGCTCTTCTTGAGGGACTCTGCAGTTTAGTCCTCTCCGAAGAGACCTGGGTGCGGGATGGAGAGGGGATAGTGAAGGTTTTCCCTGAAGTGTCCTCGAGGATCACTGGACTAAAAGTCCAGTGTGCTCATGGGATGTAATCACTTTCCCCTCCCTGCTCTAATAAATCTGGCCCTCAGTCCTGCAGTCTTTGCATTTCCTCCTTAAGGAGTCTCGTAGCCTGAACAAATGCCATTTGTCCCCATTTGGGCCTATAAATCTCCCCCACAGCTGGTCTGACCTTGACAGATAACTGGATAATCTCCCCCTGGTCTTGTAAAAATGGCAGGGGGTGGGCGGCAGGTCAGTGTAATGGTTCAGGGCTCAGTACTGACTGACTGGCTGACTGTGCATTGATCTGGACACCAGCTTCTCTTGGTTGCCCACTTTGGGGCAATCAGACCCATGTGGTTCCCAAGGAAGGAATGGAGAGAGGGTCAAGGGCTTTGCTTTGTTGGATTTTTCTGTAATCTAGCCCTCTCCTTGAGGCAACCCATCAGGGGTTGGCTCGTTAGATTTTCCCTTCCCAAAACAGGCACTTGACCCAGATCTTGGCCCTGGACCATGAGGGTCAAGTATACTTCACTTTACAAAAACTGCCATGTCATGGGAAGAGAAGGGATTTTCACACTTAAGGGTCTGTATCACCCCTGACTTGTATCATAATTTCAGAGATTTTCTTCATCCTTGATTATCTTAAATTGCCATCCCATCTCCTTCCCAATCCTAAATATCTCTTTGAAGAGGACGTAAAATAAGAATTTAAAATCACTCTTCTTATGGGAATGAATCCTTTCTGAGTGTGTACCTGCCAACCATGCAGGAGGAATTCTCTGGAGTATTTTGTAAATTTATATTCTTTATGGGTTTTTCTCAGAAGTGAGGTTCATATGCATTTGGCTGCATCGGCCTTGTTACCTGTATGTCACTTTTCCCTAAACACATCTAGAAAGGGCCTGGAGCAAGAACTACCAGGCTAAAGAGGGACATTTGAGGACAACATTGTGTTCTGCCAGTGAACTATTCCTTTGGCACGGGGGGGGGGGGGGGGGGGGGGTGCGGTGCAGAAGCAAATGGAGAGGACAAGGAGACCAAGGGGGAATGGAAGGGACGTGCTGCCCATCATGCCCATCAGCTCTGTCTGAAAGTCAGTGCCAGGTCCAAGACTGGGAGCAGATGTACCAATTCTAGAGGCTGCTCATGGAGAGAGGAGCCAGCCTCAGAGACTGGGATGCAAATTTAAATCTCTGTCAATCTTAGGGGCAGTCAGGGGCCACCAAAGGCACAGTCTTTACAGAGTCCGCTTAATCCACTCAGAGATCTGACTTGGAGCCTGGATCCCCAAGGCCCTTGCTCAGGAGCCAAGGAATCCTCACTTTGTTAGCGGGGAAAAGAGCCAGAGAGACATCAACTTTGCTTAGTGGGGGGGAAGGGGAGAGGGAGGAGGGAAATGGGAGACTTGGAGGTTAGGAAGAGGCCCAGGGCGGGGAGAGAGATTTTGAAGAAAATGTCCTTGTGCTTCCTGTGGTGTAACCCTCACCCCGGTCCCCTCCCCTCTCCACTCATCTGCCCTGGGTTGGACATGATGACTCCGAGGCCTCAGAGACAGGCTGCTAGTCCAAGCCAGCTGTGATCATTTCAGCTTCAGTCAAGGGGCAGAAAAGATGTGTCTTCAGCCATAAAAAGGATGAAATCAGTAGCTGAAGAAACAGGCAAGATTCAAGTGATTAATATGGAATCCCCCTACGGTGGGGGTCCATGAGCCACTTCTAGCTGAAGAGGTGGGCATCCTTCCCGGAATGCCACAGCGTCATCCCAGGAGAGCAGGCCCTGACTCACGGTGGCCTGTCCAACACAAGAGAAGTTCTGCCACTTTGTCAACACCAGGAGCTCTGTGGCCATCAAGGATCGCTGAGGGAGAATGGGGCAAGGCTGGAGGTGGGGAAGGAGAGTCAAAGGGGGCGGAGCCTTT